AACTTGTGATAGGTGCAGCGAGTTCAATACAACACAATTTAACATGATAAAAAACAATACAATATTTGTAGATGAAACATTAGAAAATAAATTACAATTTCGAAATTTTTTGTGCAATCATAACTTAATATGATTTAGATTTAGATTTAGATCTTTTAAATACTTTTTATGATAATATTTATTTCTGTACAACGTTAAATTAATATTAAGCATAAAACATAATGCGTCTTATAATATAGCTGCAAAAATAGTACGATTATAATATGATATATAGCAAACTGTGTCGTACCTGTGACGTATCCATTACTGTTGCAAATGACAAGCAATATCAAATAATCCAACTGTCCTTGTTATGATATCTTTATTATTATTCACCGCACCGTTCGTGAATCTACGATCGATGCGAATAAAATACAATGAATATACATGCAAACCTCTCAATCCTCAACCGATTTTGCAGGGCTATTCGTAAAAATATCAAAACTATTCAAATAATATTATAACATAATATTGATGAGTATCATTTATTCTTTATTGTCTAGGACATAGACAATTTTATTGTAATTACTTATAGTAAAGTATACCCAAGTATTTGCAAATTCACCGATTTCCCTCTCCCCTCGATTTTGTTAATGCTCGAGTATTATATTATGTTCCAAATTGTACATATCTGTAAGTACTTCTGGATTCGTGGCTGTATCATCGTTAAAAAATAAAAACCCATACCTGAATACGAATCGGTTACGTAGGTAGGTAATATTGTAACAAGTCGCTTGGTCGTATACCTATATATTTTGCGGCGGCATTCGACGGGGCTGCAGAGCAAGCATTATGTATACCATGTTGTGTATTATTATTATATACGTCGGAGAAAATAACACTGCTCGAACCCGACCGTCATAAATCAAACGCCGAGCGCGGAATACGCGTATACGCGGTGGCGCCGATTATAATATAATAATAATAATTTATCGAACGACGGTTTTTTCCCTTCTCGCGTAGCAAAGTCGATAACAGTAGAAGCCGACGAAAATGACGATTAGGTAGGTCGTTTGTTTTTTTTTTAGCCTGCGCGTTAACCGAGCGAATTTATTTTGTATACTGTATACCTACTAGAGGTGTTATAATACGCGAAGGAAAAGTTTCGGTNTTTTGTATTAATAAGTTGAATATTGGTTGATTTTTAATCAATAATGTTTAATGTTTTGATTATTTTAATCGAATGAATATCTCGACCATGACGAAATAATATTTCGATTATTTTAATCGAGTGAATATCTCGATTATAGTAATATCTCGATTACTAATTACTCGATTATCGAAATCATTCGATTATTCCCATCACTACTGTATACCTACTAGAGGTGTTATAATACGCGAAGGAAAAGTTTCGGTTTATTAAACATTTTTACCTCGTCACAAAGTGTAATAATAATATATATATATATATATATAAATATATATTATACGCCCGATCGAAAGGAATGGGGAGATCGCAGCGGACAGCGTGAACAACAGGGAGAGAGTTTAGAGTGTATGTGTGTGTGAGAGAGAATACAAAAAGAGCGAGAAGAGAGAAACAAAGAGAGAGAGACAGAGTGAGTGAGAGAGAAATGGCAAGGGAGGCAGTCATTCGCAGAAGCTGTTATTGTGTTATAGTGCTATATTACAAAGTTTGCTCAGCGGCTCCCACGACAAACATATATCATTTATAATATGAGGTGCACATTGACCTATAATAGTATGTATGTACTACCTACATGATATCTATCATGTATGTAATATTTATATTACACTATACCTATACTTACGATAATCTTACTGCGATCTGTTTTCATGAAAAAATTCGTGAGATACGTAGGTAATTTTCAAAAAATCAATGTATTATACACAATAATATTTATGCACTGGCTAGGTCACAGATACCTGCTTAAACTTGGGAATGTCGACAAAAATTATTTAGACATTTATTAAGACATATTTTTTTACGCTAGTGCATAAGATTTTGTTTAAAACAAAACCCAGTCCAGTCTTAGGATTTTTTTGTAATACTGGCTTAAAACTGTTGTACAATTTCTACGTGAAATATTTTAATGATAACAATGATAACTGGTGTTATTTTTTAAATTATGATTATTTATTGTCGAAGAAAAATCCTTAAGAAGCCCGGTCCAACCCTTGATTTATTATTTGAAGTCTGGCCCGACCCGATCCGACCAATTGTACCGAAAAAAAGCCCTGGCCCGGTGGTCTGGAATACAATTTCAAGACTTAAAAAGCCCGGTCCAACTATTTATTATATTTTTAAGGCCCGGCCCGGTCCAATTTCACTACGGGCCGGGCGTTTTGAAGACAGGGTAGGGCCGGCCGGGCCTTTGCAGGTCTTTAATGGATTCTACAGCTGCTTCAATATTGTTTGTTCGTGGTTTTTTAAAACTGGCTTTATGAAATGCGCGGAAAAGTCTCTGAAATACGCGGTCTTCAACTGTCTATACTCCATAACATGTACAGGCAATAGATAGTGTGCTATAGTAGTCCGTGATGCTCAGTTCACAAATACTACTTGTACAGTTGTACGAGTATATCGCTCACACCTACGCGGAGGACAATCGACAAATGCCGACTGTTGCGTGCGCTTGTATATAAACAGTACATTTATTGTATAATATATAGCCGAGTAAAATAATAATATGCAAACAAATGCGGAGCGACACACGCACAAACACTCACGACAACGCCAATGCGCTTTAATACCAATATGGATATTGGTTAGGTATGGTATATATACATGAAATAACACACCGCGGTCGACCTCGCCGATGCCCGTCATCGGTAGAATCGATTATTCCGCGGGCGAGTTAAAGTTTTCCACACAAACTTTTCAGCAGCACCTAAATAATAAATATAATAATTGTATATATACATAAATAAAAAACCCGGCAGATGCCCCCCACCCAGTAACATAAAGGTAAAAACGATCTTTCCCTTCTTCGCCACCGCCTCGTGTGGAATACGTAATGAGTCGGTAATAATAATATTGTTATAGTCGCCACATTTCTTGCTTGCAAGACCCTCGCTCTAAACAACCCCCGACTCACCCCCCCCCTCAAAAACTATAATATTATGTACAACATCGTGGCGAGGTTGTCGGTATGATTCTAATCGTGCGCATCGTTACTGTCGTCAATCGCTCGGAGATAATAAATACTGTTGATCCGACAATGACAAAACGATCCACCTACGAAATTCCCATCCCTATACGGCAATGTTAGGATAGGCGCACAAACAAATGATTGTGCATGACTATAACTGGCCGACCGGCTTATCATATAGTTTAGACTGTTTAGAGGCACATATAACTAAAAGTAGTAAAACTATGCATAATAATATATATATATATCTTTGGTATTTTATTGAAATCGTGTGATTGATAATTAATATTAATTAAAGCATCACATGCAAATAATACTTTAATATATTGTCTTCAAATGGGAAGGGTGGAATATTATTTAATATACAACAATAAATATTGCAATTTGATAATGATTGAACTGTTTTAAATTTTAATAATAATAATACTTAGGTATTATTAATACAAATAGTTTATTATTACATATTATAGTAAAATATAGGTAGGTAAACTACGTTTGGCTTGTTAAGAGGGGAAATCAATAATCAACCCCCCCCACAACAATAATTTACTGGTTATTTAACGGCAGAGAACCGTACCGACAATTGTAATCCTAGAGAGGTACCAAAATAGAAGGTTTATTATATCTAAATATTATTTCAGATGCAAGTACATTCCTCAAAATGCTGTGTGTATAGTATATATAATTACACTTAATTGGTTGTAATAACTTATTATAATTGTTTTTTATGAACTGCACTTTATTGTTATAATATTATATCTAGCTCTCAAATTTAGTTGCCATCGTGCTATGTGTGATAACATGCACAACTAGTTAAATAAATATTTTATATAATATATATATATATTAATTTATCTAGGCCTCCAAAAATGTCTAAATTTCATCATTTCAATGGGTGAGTGAGTAGAGGTAAGAATTTCTGATTACCACCCGCCCGTCGTTTACTTCCGTTTTCCCTCATAAATGTAATGAAATCAATCATTTTTCGTCGAACACTCGAATCACTCAATAATTAGTTATCGGTTAGGTTAGGTTATATCAACGTACATTATATTCCAACGTATACAGGTTACGTCGACCGTGGCAGTTAATTAACGTTGGGAAAACTACCCGAGCGAATGTATGTATTATACTTAGTCTTATGATATAATAATAATATTATAATGGCAATTGTCGTGTGCACACTGCAGCACACCTGTGTGCATACATGAAACACGCCCACGGGCCACCACATGGCTACAACACAATAATACTTACTATCATAATTTTTCACTTCCAAAAAATGTCGGTTTTGAGGTAACTCGAAAACCGGGCAGATGTAATCCGACAGGTGTGTTTAAAAAACAAAAAAGGAATTATGAAACCGGTGACTTTTATGGCACAGACGTGCCTCCCTATACCCCTCTCAACAAGGCCTAATTGATGAATAAAGACAATAAAATGATAACGATGAAAATCACGTTGAAAAATTAAGAATAATGGAAGAAAGTATAGACGGAAAAATGGAAAAAAATCCAAGAACTCAATTTGTGATGCAGTTCACAGAACACTTAGACAAAATAACATACTTTACTTACTAATAATTGAAAGTATTGGTGCTTGATAGAGAGGAGAGGAAGATCATCAAAGTTATTGAATAAAATTAAGGATTGAAAAAAATTAACGTAATGATGTAATTGTCCGCGGTTCATTATTGACGTCCTCGTGGTTTCCAAGGTTAACGGTAAAGTAAAGAGCAATTAATAATTTGGTGAAATAAAAATTATTGTAGGACAGAATCTATCTGATCACGTTTTCATATTATCCTTCTCTCTGGAATAAATAGCAAAATAAAAAAAAATGCAATAGTTTAAATAAAATAATATATAGCTCGGTTTATTGGTATATACAAAATATAGTAATAATAAATATCATTGATATACAATATTGCTGAGGTTTAAGCAACATAAATGGTGTGATTTTTTTAAATGTACGAATAATAAAAATATATAGGTAATGCAATAAATATAGGGTACCAGTCTGCTATTAATATAATAGTGTAAATAATAGCATAACGATGAAGTGTTATCATCATTTTTTCACATATGTGTCTTGTTTGTACAATTTATATACATTAAAAAAAAAAACATTTACATTTGAGCTTTGACATAACACACCGAGCTCGTTAACAAAAAAAGTAATTAAATATTAGTATTAACGAATAAAAAAAAATAATTCATTTTGTACATACTATAGGCTAACTAATATTAAATAATAACTACTATTCAATAGTATCAGTGATAACTATATTAACTATCGGTTCAATACACGATATCAAAAGAGAAGACGAAGAAAACAATAGCAATAATAATAATAATAATAATAATAATAATATCTCTTAAAAGGTCACCGTTCAATTGTTTAGATTGGTAGGTGGCCTGGCGAACAGCGCAGGATTAAACATGGCTCTAGGCCACTCGACGGGTCATTTGCCACCGTTACGCATCAACCCGTTGTTTAATGTTTCGAAATGTTGTTTCAACAGGAATGCGGCGGCCTGCCGTTGGGCAGCAAACAACATGTTAGAGTTTATAGCCGCCGAAGTAGCTGAGGGCATTGTTGACTGAACCATTTGCACAGAATTGGGTGATTTCTTCGTATTAGGCGAGGAACAATTACTGGAGACTTCAGGAGCCGCTAACCGTTTTAAGCATCCATTTGGCGGAGATTTGGATAAATCCAAGACTTTGGCCACCGGTTGAAGTTTTGAGGTAGGTTGCTGTTTTATAGCCGAATGGTGTTTCGTAACCGATTGGTTTTTCGATGCTTGCTGCTGTTTCGGGGTAGATTGCTGTTTTTTGGGAGGCAACAGTTTAGCGTACGGCGACGAGTTAATCTCGATCAATTGCGGTACGTCATCCTTATTCGGTCCAAGTCTCGGAGGTGTCACCTTCCGTTCGGGGCCTTCCTGTTTCCTCTTGTTGACGCCACCACTAGCGATAGGATTCAGCTCTTCTAACTTTCTTTTGTTGCTGGAGCTACTGCCAACGATGGGATTCAATTCATCAAATTTTCTTTTGTTGTTGATGCCACTGCAAACAATAGGATTCAATTCATCCAATTTTCTCTTGTTGTTAGCGCCACTGCCAGCGATGGGACTCAATTCATCCAATTTATTTTTGTTGTTAGCGCCACCGCTAACGATTGGTTTCAATTCATCCAATTTTTTCTTGCCGTTACAGCCACCGATAGCGATTGGACTCAGTTCCGGCGCTTTCTTCACCGATTCAGTAGCGAACGTCATCAGCTTGATAGACACGTCCGGTTGCACGACTTCACGACGCTTGGCGTCCATGTCTTGCTTAGAAGTCTCGGTCAATAGAGACACACTGAGAACGCCATTTTCCGTGTCCACGCGCCTCTCTATACGATTGTTGTCGGTAACATTATTGTGTTGTGCGTTAGAGTCTTCCTTCGTTCGTTTCGTTGGCATACTGTACAAGCTTGGTACGGGTTTCTTGTTGACCGGTTTGTTCGGCACTACTACGGTATTGCTACTGCTGTTACCGTTGCTAATTTCTGTAGTTGCTGCAGGTTTTGTTAATTTGTCTGTGGCCGGTGGCACTCGCATTATCTGTAAGCTTGGCTGAGAGTTCGAGTGATTTTCGTGTGCGGCCGGCAGTTGATTCGTCTCTGGCTCTGTGACTTTGGTGATCTGTAGCGACGATTCACAGTTGTACTTGTCATGCAGATCGGTGACAGTCGGAGGCTTTAAGAGCCGAAGATCTTGACCAACTTTTAAAAGACTTTGAGCGGCGTTAATTTCGTCAACATTTTTCGATGACATACAAGTGTTGATGACAGCCGTTGGGGACTTATCAGCCATGGATTTCTTGATCGGGTTTTCTACCACCGCCAAAGTTGGTTTCTCAATCGTCTTGTTGTCTTTCACAGAAGTTGTTACAGGTGATGGCAGTGGTTTGGCTGCTAAGCTTCTGGCCTTATTCCACTCATAGGACTTGCGTACTGGAATAAAAGGCGGGCGATTGGTGGATGCTTGGCTCCGAACAGGAACCGCTTCAGGAGTCCTCTTAAATGGATGCATGCCAGGGAATCCAGGCCGAACGTAAGCATTCGGCTGTACAGACGAAGATTGTTGCTGTTGTTGTTGTTGAAAGCTAGGTATGGATGTATGCATACCTATCTGTTGCATTTGCTGCAAAGTAGGAACGAATTTGGCAGCAGCGGAAGCATTCTTGTTCTTCATGATCAGTTTTGTGATGGACAGATTGAGCTTGGATTCACCGGCTCCTTTGTGCTTCTTTGGCAATGGCAGAGCAGAAGGAGGAGGATTACTAGTAACAGCAATCGGTTGCAATTGCTGTTGGTCAACTAGTTTTTCCAGTTTTTTCATCGGTATTTCAGCGGTTGTACTGCCGGTTTGTTGATGTTCAACGAGATTGACAGATTTTTCCTCTTCCATCGCCATAGGCAGTGTGGGAGTTGGTTTCGACTGTTCAATGGCACAATTGTTAATGACATTATCGGAAACATTTTCCTTCCTTGAACTACCTTCTGGCGATATGGGAGGGTTCAATGATTTCATTGGCGGAGAAGGAGATGATCGACGATCTTTTTGTGATACATCAGTTCTTGCAATCATTATCGTCGATTCTTTGAGGCTCGATTCTGTTTGGGACAGTTGTTCCCCCTTAATCACAATTGGTTCTTCGGTGATGGGTAGTTTCAAAAGTTGAGGTATAGTTTTTTTCTTATCTTCTTCTGTCGTTTCGACTATCGGAGTAAGACCAGAAACATTTATTTGTGGTGGCAATGGCGTCGTTTCCGTGGCAGTGTTAGGTACAGGTGATAGCATAGGTTCTGTGGTCGCAATATCTGTCAACGCTGTACTAGGTTCATCCGTCGGCAATATTACGGGCACCATCATTCGAGCATTAATCTTGTAAAAGAACCTCATAGGTTCGTTTCTATTCCATGTGTAAATATACGCAATATCCATTATCGAGTACTCTTCGGGTAAGCTTTCCCTTCTGTACAGCAATTCAACCTGAAAAAAAAAACAGGTGATTTAAAACAATGAATCGGCCGCCCAAATATAGACCACACACACGATAACCACACAATGAAAAACTCGTCCAACAACTTGACTTGGGGACCGACTTGGGGAATGCGTTTAAGTTGTTTATTGGGGAATCTATATAAGTATAAAGAATAAATAAACCCAGTTATGTATGATGTATCAAATTCAATTTCATAGATATAAGCCATGAATAGTTATTATTTATTTATAAAGGATTATCCTAAGAACAAATAAGCATGAGTTAGTAATTGGTACATTTAAGACTGAACAAAATTTATATGATTTTGCTCCATTCGATATTTTGATCAGTAACGTGATTTAAAAATAATTCGTTTTTCATCGCCTTACCTTACTACTCGCATTTCATCAACGAGCCTTCATTTTATAGATTTATTCCTTATATTATTAGATACTCTGTATGAAAATCGATTTTCATATTAGGAAAGCCTTAATTTCTAAATAAAATGATATACCATTACCGTACTAAAATAAAAAATATTAAAGATAAAACACTGGTATTTTATCCATATTTTAATTTTTTAAATTATTAACGATATTTGTAGTGGGCGCCATATTTTGACTAACAATTAATCCTATTAATACTCTTAATTAAACAATAAAGTTTTGTTTTGTGTCGGTGAACAATACTACTGTCTTCAAAATATGTGTAGAAAATAAACAAAAATAATGTATATACTAAAATTTGAGTTCAATAAAAAAAAAACTGAATAAATAATTTATCTTTGTTGATAATTCAAAATAACTTATACAATATTAAGTTGTTGCAGTTACTTCGAAGTACAGACTGCAAGACCGCATGGTAAATTATCAAAGTAAATAAAAATAGACAATAATAAATAAAGTTAGTAAAAACATTAGAAAGTGATAGTTAAAATAAATCCGACGATCGGGTACATTAAAATGTTAATTTAATTAACGCGTCGAATTTACGGTGGATTGCGGAAATGCGGACAAAACGATGATCGACATAATGTAAAAATATAATATTTTGCGAAAGCCATAAGAGCAAATGTTATATATGGACCCAGCGGGCTCACTCGCTTGGACAATTAATAGCGAAAACATCTAAAGTTTTATTATATAAAACCACTTGGGTAGGTCTCGAGGTAACGACAAACTTCGGAAGAAGCCTTCTTTACTCGAACCCCAGGAGTAGAAAAAGTCAACCTGATTTGAGCAAGGACTGTAATAAGTGTAATATCGACAATTTCGATTTGCCGTAACTTTCAAACAGTAAATACAATACATCTAAGTTTCCGCAAATTTTTTCAAAGACTTTTAAATTATGCATACTATTACATGTATTTTTTGGGGGGGGGGGATTACAAAAAGGGTGTCCGGTAATCGGTAAAGTAAACTTATGCCTATCCTATTTTTAAATAATTGGTGTAAGTACATAATGTTATTATGGATAACAATATTGAGCCTGATGAAAACCAATAATTATAATTCAGAGTAGAATAGTGCTAAAGTAAATATGTACCTAATTATAAAAATGAAAGCTCGTCGCAAAATGCGTGCATTGTAATTAATTGTAATACTGGAGTTGCAAGTTGAGACCTGTGGCGTATACTGACCTTAAACTGTAGTCTACAGCTTATCCTCTTGTTTAAATACATCAATAAGTATTTATAACAATGGAATTATGTGATGACTTAATTAGTTGTGTATAATTTTATAGTACCAAGTATTTAGAACTTATATGTTATAATTGTTTGTGATATTAAATTCTAGATTTATATGAAAAAAGTTTTTGCAGAATTTACATTTGAGTGGATTAGTTAAATTACTTTTAAAAATAATTGTTGTACAGAAGTTAAGTAGATCTTCCATACGAAAATAAACAAATGTATACAAAGTTAACATTTAGTACACATATATGATATATATTATATAGGTACTTTAAGTTTTTACCATACAGTTACTTATATGTATCTACGTCATGCAGATAAATATTTTGTTAGCGGAATAAGATCTAACTACTGGCGTTTTGTTTACTAACGAGGGATTTTAAACTCAAAATTAATATTAAGAAATTACATATTGTTGGTGTGCTTGTTGACTAGGTATGTAGTATGTATACGCAATACAAATGTTCATATAAGATTATCGACGATATTGTACATAAATAATATGAGTTTCTGTGACAACACATCATAATAAATGTAACGAAATTATATTAAACATAAAGTCGGGGTGGTACACATACCTATACTACATAAGACTATAGGGAAGATTTGTTTGTGATTTTAACAAAAAAATGAGATACTGTGTGACCTATTTCAAGTATAATTTATATAAACACTATACAAGGACTGAACACTTATATTGTTGTTGTTTATTTGTACTATACAGTTGCGCCAATAGTGTACTCAAATAGTCAAATTGTGTTTTTAACAAATGAATAATAATAGCATGTGTGTAGACATAAAATAATTATAAATCGAATAATACTAAAAATGATCTGCTAAGACATTTGCTTACCTTGTCCCAAGGTTTTAGGTTATATTTCAGTCGAATAAATTTCTTAAGGTGCGACATTCGAACGGCTGCGGGACACTTCAAATACCGTTTCCTCACAATACATCGTTGTGGTTTATCGGTCTAAAAAATATAAAAATAATAACAATCATTGTAGATAATATATTTAACTATTTACTTTTGAGATAAAAAGAGTTGAAGATTAATTTATTTTGAAATAAAATAAAAATTGATTATTGTATAATGTAATATTACTTCGGTGTGGATGTTTATTTTAGATTATACTTACTCTCACTTTGTAGTGTAAGCCTTTATCATCCGTGACGTTTTTCCACATTTCTTGTTCGCATACTCTGTAAAACAATTAGTAAAATCAAATATTTGTGATAAATAAAATATAATAATAGCTACACAACTTCCGAAATAACATCATTTTTATAAATTACTATTCAAAAAACACACATTACAAAAAATAATCTATAGTAAATATATTTTGATTAGATTATTTGTTTGTTAAACTGAATCATCAAATAGGTTGTGAATATTTTAGACTTTTATAAACATACCTATTAATTAAATATATGAAGTTATAATTAAAAGGCCATAAATCTATACTGAAAAACATTTAACTAATCGTATTATCATTATTTGTGCAATAAATCAATTTATGACAGTTAGCTGATAGTTATCATTTTATGAGAAAATAAATGAATGAAAAATATATAAACATTTACGGCGAATAACGGTTTTGAATAAAAAAAAATTTTACAAACATATTATTCACGGGGCACGTGATGTTACGTTAAACTATTTTCTTACTGTACTACCAAAACGGTCCTGTCCTTTTAAAATGATTACCAATACGATAATATATATATATATATATATATATACATGCACATATTATAGTTTGCTCTCAATCCGGGGTGGCGTTGCAACAGCTGCAACGGTGCACGCATGTGTATCGCGTGCTATACAAAAGACACGAAGAGCGAGAACAACGGTGGCGTTGCTACAGCGGTAGCAGTTGATGGTATTTGGTATGAGGAGGGAGAGGGGGGATTAGAAAATAAGTGGCCCGTACGACAATCGAATTATGAAACCCTGAATTCCACATGTTGAAGAGAGTTCGATGGTGGGGGTATATATTCATCGCCATTTAATATAAAACGGACGGAAATTATTCGGTGAAGGGTTGAAAATATTAAACAATAGACATAGTTTTCATATAAGAATTTCGGAGGGGTGAAAAAAATTATAACTGTCAATCATTTATAAATTACGTAGAAGATAAATGTTTTAATTCAGAATTATACATCATACATATCAGAAGTCCAAATAAAACTTAATGACATTAAAATATTATCAATAAAAAAAATATACATAGTATGAGATAACCTTATTTACATGCAAGTTAATTCCCATATCATATTGAAAATTGTACCATCTTTTAGACAAAAAATGTTAAAATTTGTTGAAATGTTTATTTTAATAGTGTAATGTAGGTAGGTAATTAAAAATATAAATATTAAATACAAATAACCTATATACGGTCTTAAAATTAATAACTAAAAATACATTTAGGTAAAATAAATCATTTTTTAATATATTATTATCAAATTAATATGTAATATTAAGTAAATAAAATACTAAAGGTTGATCTTGAAAATAATAAACTACTAGTGGAGGATCTCGGAAAAATGTGGTTTTCCGGCCCGTCGTGGTAACCAAGGTTACCGTACTGGGACCTGATCGATATGTATAACGCGCGAGGGAAATGCATTTGAGGGCTTTTTCTCGTTTTCTCTATACATTCGACTTGTATGAGCACTGAAGACCTGTAGCTTCCAAAAAAATTCTATACAGAAATTTGAGAGAAATTTGATATGTAACTATATAACAGCTTGCAGATAAAAAAATAAACCTACATACTTAATTCAAGTTGGTTTTTAGCGATTTCAATATATTACCAAGTACCAACCATAAAATGTCAATATTTTTAAATTTTGATTTTCACTTATCTTAAATTTTCCAAAATCTTTTAAAAGTGAGAAATTAAAAATTGAAATTTGAATTTTGTTTTTGAATCCTTACCGTATTTTTGTAATCACAAAGTTTATGTTCAATAGTTTTTTTTACACCCTACTATACTTAGTTTTATATTTTATGTAATATTTGTATAGAAACATACAGATATTACAAAAAAATTGGAATGCTAAACATTTACTCTTTTATAGTTTTCTGATACATCTCAATAAGGTGCAACCCATTCACATTTCATACACTTCATGCATAATATATTACGTACAAGATCACTGATCAGTATATTACTTATTAAATTATATAATTGATAATTATCCTTTAAGAATAGACAAATAATGCTAAATATTACATATTTAATTGTAAACTACACAATACATTTGATATATACAAAGAATAACGATGTTTATCGAGTGGCGTAGCCAGCATTATGAAATTTGGGGGGGGGGGGTAAGTATAAATATTAAGGAAAAAAAATAAAAATGTCAATAAGGGGGTTAAAGACCCGAACTTCCCCCTGGCTACACAATATGCATATATCATTAGTTACTACAGTAAATAAAATACGTAAAGAGAAACAAAATATATTTTTTAAAAGGTTAAATGCCTGTTTAATTATGTTAGATAACCTAATATAAAATAAAACCTTACATTTTGGTTAAAAGTATAATAACTAATATCGGTACAATTATATCCTTATTCCCTCATCGTATTCAAACGGTTTAATCGTTAATTTGTTTAACACTTACTTATCGTAGTATTCCAATGACAGGCTAATTAATTCATCAGATGTATATATAATTCGATCGACGCTGACACCCCGACATTCTGGCTGTAAATGCATGTCTAAACAAAAAATATAAAATAAAATATAAAAATCACAACACGTTGCTAGATTAAAATATATTACCTCTGTGAGGGTGTTTTTGATAAAATTCTTGTCTACGTTTCATTTCTGAATGATATAAGCCCGGGACTAATTTGTACACTATGTCTTGTAATGCTTTATCCGGTCTGCAAAAAAATAAAAGTATGGTGTTATTGCATAAATATGTTAAATCCAAATATTAATTTCTTTGAGAGTTAAAATGAACACTAATACCTACATTATGACTACACAAGTAAATCTTATACCTACACAAACAAGTAGGGTGAATATTATGATTTATACTTAAATTAAGTTAAGTCAAAATATCTTGCTGTGATTATTAAACATTTATAAGATTTTTTTCATTTTAATTATTAAATAAATATCTACAAAAATTATTATAAACTACCTACTGGATTTTAAATTTTAAATCAACCAAATTTAATGTCTAATATTGGCATACATCCAAATATAATGGTTTACAAGTTATACGTTTGCTTAAAAGTAGGTTTCACTTATTAACGCATATTATTTTTATTTGCATATGTTTATTCATAATTATTCTCTTCGCATTATTTTTCCAGCCGTATTTATTCGGTTAAATGACCTAGAATTAAAAATATTCCAGAGGGTTTCTATTCAATGACAAAACCGGCAGCAAGATGAAGAGGCAACGAAGTAATATACTACATACATACACACACATAAAATACAAACGGACACACACACACACATATATATATAATACATTTATATAAGTACATTTCACCTTTTATTTCGTCACTGACTTTTTTGGAATCATGGTAGGGTACTGCAGTAACATATTATAGAATTTTAAATATGATTACCCTAACTTGATTTTTTTTTTTAACTTAAGTTACTCATTGAGAAGATCTCTATACCATTTTCTTTTGGGCCTCCTGGAAGGGTTCCCAGGAATAAAAATAAATATAAGATTGATAATTAGACGTAATTTAATTCATATCTTAATTTTTAAACACTAATTAATAAATTTGTATTAATAACTAAATAATAATATATTGTAGTATTTTACTGCATTTTTATTTAAGATAAATGTATTTAACTATATAAAGTTTGTATAGTTTTATTTTTAATCATAAGTGGTAAGCCGTACGCGACTGATTGATAATATACTTAATTCGCTGGAATAGGTAAAAACTTATAACTTAGATATATATATATAAAGAGAGAGAGATAACAAACAATTTCAAAATTGTTCATAAAATTGTTAGTAAGTTGTTAATATAGATATTTATATGGTTATTGACTATAGTATAATACAGTTAGTGTTTCCCAACCTTTTTGTTATAAATTTAATCTTTATTGAGTATGCGACCCCCTGCTAAAAAAAACATTGCATCATACATTCTACAATACTAGTTGAGCATCACATTATTACTAAACAGTATAGAAATACCAATTAACTGCTAAAATAACAGTAATAGTAACCGCGAATCGCGACCCATGGTTTAGGGAACGCTGAATATATTATAATATCTATATAGTATAGGTTTATTTAACTAAAGCATGTTTACGAAAAATTGGGTTGTTAAAAAATGTGTAGGTACATGAACAATTGTTTAAAGATAAAAATATTGCTTCTTTTTTTAAATTCATGTAATAGAATATTAGAAGTTCCTTCAATTATGACTGAAATTCAATTACTTTAACCTTGCAGTCGAGGGTTACAGCGGGTTTATTCTTTTTACCATGTTTATTTATCATGTACATACTTATAACCCTCAGGCACTATACTAACTTTCAGACAAAGCTTATGCTTCTAAAGAAAATCTTCCCACAAACAAAATACTCACTCATTCTTACAATTAAAACGCGATGGTTATCGTACCTATACATAAAAAATAATATACCGGATTATAAATATATGTCTGAGTGAGATAATTGAAAAAGAAGTGTGTATATAATAAATGCATAAGATCCGTAAGCACAGTAACAAAAAATTTACTGCAAATTAAGACATTAATGTTGCGATTATTGAGCTCAGTATTGTTACCTATACGTAGTACAAAATAAACAAATTTACACTCAAGTATATGGTGGTTTTGGATTTTGGTTAAATTTAGATAGTATATGTATATACTATAAACCAATGAAATTTATAAAGCTCTATATTATAAATCGATTATACTACAGAATAACAAAGGAGCATAATATTGTATTATTTTATTCCACTGTTAAAATTCGTTGTAACGATTTTTCCAAAAACTAATTTAATTGATTGTTTTATTTCATTTGTTAAAATATGTAATACATATTCAACACGCGGCGGGCGTCTCAGCAGACAAAATGAAAAAGGACCCGCACCACGACGGCATTACAACTTGACAAATCAAAATTAATTGCACATAAATCCACCCTGCAGAGAGAAGGGTATAGGTGCCTCAAGAATTCCGAGATTGTTTTCCATTTATTATATTTACGTGTACATTAAACAGTTCGTACTGTTGTCGATAAAAAAAAATTATTTAGGTACTGATGTAAGCAGTAAGCACAAACGAAAAACAAAAATGGAAAAATAATGTACCACCTTCCACGAGCATAATATAAAAGATATGTACAGGTATAATATTAACGTATACGCAAAAAGGGTATTAATGCTTTAATGTATGAATGTAATTTTCTGTATGAGTGATTGTTATAATATATGATGAACGAATATACCATACTCGCGCATGTGATGAAATCTAATAAACGATTTTCAAATTATATACGAGTGTTTCCGATCATAATTATACGCGAACAAGCCGAAGTGCCGAAGGTTTACATGTGCAGTCTAGATTTAGCTAGAATAACTACGATGCGATAATAAACATGGACTTCGAACGCGGAAATTGTGAATATACGAGTATGTAGTTGTGTAGATTAAATAAAAATAAATGTAAATTCTATACGTGATAAAAATGTATATAAACAACGAAAGATCCTATCTTGTAAGAGTAAAACATTTTCAGAAATATAAAATATAAACAGGTTGATACGCAGAGGACGTGTGAAACTTTCGCGAAATTTCGTGTTTCGAACTACGAACGACAACGCTCGTAAAGAAGAATATTATCGTATGTGATAGCAACGAAATGGATGCGAAAATCCGAAACACAGCAAAACTGCGATCAAAGCGTGTATTATATACATGCATGAAATGCTATTGTTATTTTCTCTCCCGTCTCTCCCAGTCTGCAGCTCTCTCTCTCTCTCTCTCTAACACACTATATCTAAACTGATAATATTAATAATACATATATAATGACTAGGACGATTTCGAATGGTTGAATAACGCTTACTATATTATCTGCCAATTTTTTATTTTATTTTTTACGACACGAAAACTGGCGGCGAATACTACGGCAACGCCGCCGAGAGAGAAAGAGGCCATTGACACGGGCGCCGCCAGCGAGGTAGGGAAACTCGACTTTGCCGTATAGTGTACCGCCGCGGCCGTCCACCACCACCGCCATCCTACATATATTTATACGTGTGCGCGTCTGCCGCCAGCATATATACACACACACACAAACACCGCTCACCGTACCGTAACACTTTTCCCGCGAGAAAAGCCCAGCGGCGGCGACTGTCGCACGTTACGCGAACCGTGAAATCACGGCGACACAGGTATGTGTGTGGGGGGTTGTTGTGTGCGTGTTACTCGCTCAAACATTAAAATATTTTACGATCATAGGTACGCGTAACTACAACACATACATATACAATATGTGTGGTTAAAATGTATTATATAGTATACAAATGTATTAATATTAATATAAATAAATAGTATACTAAAACAGACATGTGTCTGCTTTTGTTTGATTCTACCCTTTTAATATTTGCGTTATATGAACAGCTTGATGATATTAATTAAACACGCCAGGCACTTTAATAAAAACAGAAATAATATTTGGAATAAAACGCCAAAACGTAATTATGAGTAAACGTACATTTCGAAACGTGAAAGTCAAAGGTCTAAGATTATTACAGTTGATATGAAAACATGGATATAATAGGTATATATTTTGTAGTTTCCTAATGATTATCACTTTCTTGTATAGCAGTTTTAAAAATATATTTTTTTAATATCAGTATTTCATGTTTTTATGCAGTAAATAGATGTTTTTAAGCATTTAAAAGTATAAAATATGTATATACGTCAGTGTCTACATAAACATTATAATATATAACTATGTTAGATAATAAACTTACTGTAGGTACCTACACTTGAAAAAAAATATCAGTTCCTTGCCCATTCAAAGGTGATATTTCTTTGCTAACTTAACAAATTATAATAGGTGACATAGGTAATATAGGTACCATATTCATTTAAATATATATTGTGTGTGTGGGATCCGCATGTAGGTACTTATTGGAGAAAAAATACAATAAAATAATGTTAATATCTTATAGGTATATTTTGGATATGATAATTTATACATAATATTTTGCAAAATTCAAGTATTTACTATTAAATACTATATCAATATTAAATTAGAAAATATAAGTTTTACTGAAATGTGTTTGTATACATTCGTACTCTAACCACGCATGTTATGCATTTTAGATTTGTGAAGTTTTTTCACACTACATTCAGAATATGACAGTTGTTTTCGAAGTTATTCATAAGAATCATAACAGTCCCCTTAACCATTAAAACTTTTCTCGTCACCTCGGGTGAATAACTCGGACCCTAATGCTTTTCTCTCGTCGTAGACATTATCCGCTTCTTTTTCACATTGTGTACGGGCAAGTTTGCTCTTTTCCAAAAGTCACCCACTGTGTCAAATAGGAACTATATACAATTGTCTAAACATTAATATTTGTTTGAAAAGTAACTTTTGAAACCTCTAGTACTTATAGGTACTACAATATTATGTAGTAATTTTAGTTTTATTAAATAATTTGAAGAAATTACATCTAAAATTGTACAGAAAAAAATCTTTTTAATTTCATATTTTTAATGGTTTAAAAAATATTTAGACCTGTAGTATCACTAATATACATATTGTACAGCTTATACTTACAGGTATGGGCTTATCGTTATTATTACAGTCATAAAAACCAGCGGGGAGTATGGCTGTATGAGAGCAATATAAGCATAATATATCATATATGTTTAGTATGTATGTATAGGTACTAGACACTAGTAGGTATCTCCGGGCACCAACCCTCTTAGTCTCAAATGGCACACATGAATAAAATGAACACGAGTTTAACAGACAAAGCAATAAGTAATGAGGGGAAATACAAAATATTGTGGTTGCAGCTTTTATAATTTTTTATATAGATATACTTGCTAGTTATTATAAAATAAAAACATAACACATTGGAGAAATAACATATTATATTGATCAGATTTCAACATCAACTTATCACATATATTTATCACTTATTGTTAATTGTAGTTTTAACAAACAATATTTTTATATACAATTGTATAATCAATTTGTATATTACCTATATACAAAGAGAGAGAGAGACAGTGAGAGTAAAATAATTAAAGAGGCATATTTGTGTAGAGCAAAATATGTCACTAAGTGATAAAACAAGTCAATTATAGCTTACTTGAGAACTTTGCTGTTCTGAATATCTTCTCGGCATATCGGACAAAAATTATTCTTGTCCAAATGCAGTACAATGCAACTCCGGCAAACTGAAACATATATAATAAATTTATTAAGTTTAGTATAGATATATTGTTTGATGTAATAAGTTTAATAGAGATATCTCAATATTACAAACTTATAAAATATAGGTAGGTATAAAATGTTTAATAAATATTTTTAGGAATTTAATGATTATACTCGGCACGTTTCGGCGTTGGCATTGGTATAATTATCATACAAATGAAGCGAAAATTCGTGGACAAATTCGAAGCGATTAGCATATTGTCAATGGTTAATCGACCGAGTTTCGTCCATACTATTATTTAAAGTTTTACCCTCCTCCCCATGTTATATATTTAGGAGTACAGCCTTAAGCGTTTCGGTGCATAGCCGGCCGGGGAATATTTTAATGGAATCTGCCTGACGACTTTTGAAATTCAAATATATGAAAAAAAAATTATAGTCTTAAAAAACGAATGTTTTGGAGTGGAATAATGGATCAATCCATAAACACATAATGTTCTATGTTGTGACGAGTTTGCTGAATTGTTTTTATGTGGTAGTATGCACAAGACGTGGTCTTATCTACAGTAATTAATCTGGTTGGTCAAACAAATCGATTCAACGTACAAAAATAGTGCCCACCAATTACCGATTATCACTTTAAACTTAGATAGCTATATCATATACATTTTGAAATAATTTTAGGTTTGAGAAAATTATAAGTACCAAAATATGCAATGTCTTATGGGTATAGGTCTAATATCATATCAATACTATACAAAATATACAATAAGTTAGAAAATTGAACATTTTGTATATGGCATCACTATAAATATTAGTTTATATAATATTTTACTAAATTATTAGGTAATTTCTTTTAAGAGATTACACTTAATTGAATCTCATCAAGTTATACTTTTTAGTGAATACACTTAGGTACTCACGAAATACACCGCCGTAAAAATAAATACCACGACGTTCTATCGATATTACTTTCTTGATTTTTAATCGAGTATTGAAATGAAGATGGGTTTTTATTGATTAAATGGACTTGTTTAAAAAAAGCAGATTTCGAAATAAATAACGTGTTTTTTTTAATTTGTTGTAGATACAATATAACTGATACTAATATTAGTTTACCCAACCATAGCACGTTAATATATAAGACTATAAAACATCATGCCCGTAACCAGCAAAATGTTTTAAAATTAAATCATTTAAAAATGTTTTCAAAGAACTTCAAAATAGTTTTTGAATTTTTTAAATAGGTTTTATTACGTGTATTTTATGATCTTAAATAATTAAAACCATGATATTGGTTATACAACTTCTACAATAATTCCTATTAAATAAAATATAACTGAATTATTGAAAAAACTAAAATTGTATTGGATAGTAGAGTGGAACATTTACGGTAAACTTAGGTATAGTAGGTACTTAATAATAATTTTTAACAATAAGTAATCAAAAAAAAATATGTTAGGTAAGATCAGCATATTGCTAGTACAGACTACTAGTGTAAATAATATATTGTATATATATATATAGGTACCTAGGTAGCAGGTACTATCTACGAGTATAAATATTACGTTAATTAAAAACGTCCGTAGAGCAAAAACCGTCAAAACTTCTTCTACAATGTATAATATATTATGTAGGTAAGGTAGCCAGACAAGTAATTTATGAAAGTACAGAGCGTATAATGAACGTTTTTGAACCCGCAACGCGGCGTTAATGAAGTGTGAAAAAAAATCATCGTCGACCGAAAAAAAACCCTACAATAATAATAATGACGGAAGGCGATGATGCTCGAGCGGAGGAGTAATAATTTTATAGTTTAGCGTCGGTGCGCACTCGCGGGGTCGTCATTCCACCCACCGCTCTGTGTACCCCGTCCGCCCACCGACGGTGCGCGCCGTCAGTTTATCCCCTACCCACCCGCCGGCCCATTGCGAGAGAAATCCGAAAACGTTTTTCACGGTCCCTCACCGCCGCCACCGCCGTCGTCCAATTAGAGGCGCACTCGCCGGCAGAACACGGAGGACGCGGACAGCGGTCTGAAGATCCCCCTCTCGCATCGGCCCCGCGGGGACACGCCGGAGCGTTGAGCGGGCCCGTACCGGACGCAGCGGTGGCGGACGAAGCACACAGGTCCTTGCGCCGAATTTACGAGCCGTAGGTTAGTAGTGTGGCGGCGGAATATATTATTATTATTATTATTATTACAGTGAACGATGACGGTGGGGAAACTGAGGGTCGGAGGGAACGCCGCACAGATGGTTTTTGTTGTGTTTTCCTCGCAGAGTGGTGCGGGGGGCGCGCGCGCGGTACACTTCTACTACGGAGCGCCGTTGTCGTTTTGCCGATCAAAACATACCGGCACAACGGCAACGTCGCACGCGCACACACACACACATACACGCCGACAGCAGCTCTACCGTCTACGCTTTTACTACACGCGGCGCGTCGTCGACGACCGACTACGGGTACGTAACACGAGAGCCGTCGCTGCAATAAGCATACCGCACAGTAGGCAATCAATCACACCGCACCACGTCGCGTCATCAACCCCTCTCCATCGGTGTGCGACGAATTTACTTTCGAAATAGCACCCACCACGCCACTCCGCCTGCCCGATTTACACTCGCGGCGCCTTCGCGATTTTTAATAGTAACATCCATTAACATGCGCAAAATTTCGCAGGAAAAAAATACGGAAATTATTTTACATAATATGATAATTTTATGCAATATGGGGTAACCGTATGGCAGTAAATTTTACGCACATAGTTAACGTTGCCCCGGAATCGGAAAGTATAAAACACAGCGGTTGTTCTTTATGTTTTTTTAATTACTCTTTTCACTATATGCAACCACGCTTAGTGAGCCTTTAGATGGACAGCGCATGCTGTAAAATTAATGTGACCGGTGGGTTTGTCAATGGATAATTAAGGCACGGGGATTCTATGCAATCATTTTCACTTTTTAAAGAAAAGCTCCCAACACGTAAGGATATATCGGATCCTTTAATGCCTAATTGACATCGTTTATTCATTTGTGTATGACCTTTTTTAATAGAAAAACACAATGTTATTATACCGCACCACTAAGACTGTGATTTTATTTCAACTGTATACATATAGGCATATGTATAGGTATATTAAATACCCATACCGACAGCCATCTTTTTGCTTTAAAATTGTATTAGAGTTTAAAACTGTTGCAATTCCTTACCTACTTTAATTATATTTTTGTTGTATTTTTTTGTATTATATGTATTCTATGTAACAATAGTAAATAGAAAATAATAACAAAATACAAACTGTTAAAAGCGGTTAAAATCTTTATTATTACCTATTACCTATTTTTTTTTTATATTGTAACACTTTTTATTATGTTTATAAAATAAATAATAATCTCAGTATACCTAATAGATTTTTCCCATAGATTATCATTTAGCTTTTCAATAAATATATTACACCTATAAATAAAATAACTTGTCCAGACTGACTGATTGGTTCATCATTGGTTTTAACCCGTAGCCGGATCCACCGAAGCTATATGTGTATATGAAATTTGGTCAGTACTCGGTAAATTCGTTTTATGATGTAAAGACCCACTAAAAAATAATTTTTCAAAATTGGTATTTCAAAGAGGTCCTCAAACAAGGATTTTGAGCTTTGTGGTAGGTCATGAAATGAGGTACACTAAAACTGAGATTCACTCAAACTGAGATACAGGCAAGATTATTTTTAGCTAATATTATTATTTAGCTAATAGTACATAATAATAAAATATTATAGTATAAATAAACAACTTTAGTTAACTATGGTAAATGGTATAATATATAAATATTATGTACATTGTACATACTACAAATTTAAATAGATGTATGTAGCAGGTACTTATCGGTACTTATATAGTACAAAAAATACCCTCTTTAACTTTTTTTTCATAATTTATAGATAGGTTTAGTTCTAGTTAGGTATAATCAAATAGTTACATAAATATATCTATATATGAGAAATTAAAACATGCCACGTTGCCATTACAATATCACTAAACGATTCATCGTCATCGATGTGATCAGCCATGAATGGAATGATGAGAAATTAAGGTAAGTACACAAAATATTTAGTATACCTACGTCAAGTGTGCAAAGAGATGATTACACTATTTTAATTATACTATTTATACATTATAAGACAATGTGTCCGTAATTTATATACAAGTAAACCAGTATAGGTACCAATTCCTACATAGTACGTACTTATTATAAGTACATGAGATTATAGAGTAATGTAAATAAATATAAACTTAAAGTTACAATGATGTCTATATACTTACAAGAATGAAGACATTCGACGATGGATGTAGCGTCTACCAAGTATCCATGGCATAAAACGCAAATTAGTTGACGGTTAACGTCAGTCAGTTTTACTCTTCCACCTCTGCAGGGCACGACCGGCTCATCACCAAATAATTTTTGTAGCAGCCACGGTGGCGGAGGCGACGACGATGACGACATGGTGACGACCAGTGATGACGATAACAGTGTATCAGAAATATATGGTTTCAATTCTGTTGATGAATACAAAAAAAAAGTTAATATTATTATTATTATTCACATACTTATACAAACAACTCGTAAATATTACTATATGTGTAATATATTAGAAACCTATGTATAATGTATATAGGTTATATTACTTATATATACTTGTATATACCAATACCGTATATGGATAAAGACACATATCGTGTGTTTTCAGTGGTGGGGAGAGGAAAGCATACAACTGAAAGGATGGTTTCCGGACTAATGATGACTCCTGTGTGTGTGTACAAACACTAATAACACATTGGAGGAGGGGAACCCAGGGGTGAAACTACCCTAATCATACGAGTTCAGATGATGGGGAAAAAGGAAAACTTCTATTATACCCGGTGTATAGCCGTAAGGGAAACACAAAACTCTATATATACTAATAAGTACTGCCGAATTAATTTATTAGAAGGCATGCCGCATACGCACACAGACTTACGACAGGTGAACGGGTAACTTTTGGCTGTGGAGTCTCGGCACTTATGATACACACGCATTCAACATAAACGAGGACGATTTTTCAATGAAATATAGGATTCGGATCCGTTTGTGTGCATGTACACTGTACAGTGCAGTACACGTAAATAAGACGTTAACCTTGCCCGTTCTAATGTTCTACGTATACTTTTTCTTCTTTGTATTAAATGGTGGCCGCACAGTCAATGACAAACGGTCTATACAGTCAGATAATTTTAAATAAAAATAGCCAATGGCAATCGGTTCATTAATAAACACCTTGAGAATATATTATATTCAAACGCGAGCGTGTATGTACACACACTGCACAATGGAGAAAAATCATCGACCTTTAGAGTCTTTATACGTCGTTGGGCTGCGCGACAAGTCAATGGCATCAATACGCACGTAAAGATAAACCAAGTAGGTATAAATCGAAGTATAAATGTTTTAACAGGTACAAGATTCATATCGCATATTGGGATTTCTTTTATCGAAGTCTTGGCTTCAGTAATAATAGGCAATAATAAGGTGTTGTTTTTTTATCGATTTATTCAATTTATTCAATAACGTCTGTTATTATATTCGAGAGGGATAAAATCATTCGACTGCAGGAATAAGAACATACGCCAACAACAGCCCTGGCAAGCATTTTCACAGTGACTGAACATACTCGTGGGGAAGTTCGGGTCACGTAAGGTTTCCTCGTGCATGTAAATATAGGAAAGTCCAGGTGATACATCGAGAAAAAACCGATAACCGGTTTCATCCGTTATTACTGTTTTATAATGTTTTTATGGAGATATTCATAAAAGGCGAAAATCTCCAGTTTTCTTAGAAAATAATACAATTAAAATAAATGCATAGTTTAATAATTATACCATTGTTATTTGTGAAGTGAATTCGATGATATAACGTGGGCGTCAATTGAGTGAAAAAGGGTAATTCAAAGAAACCTTATGTATAATATTTCACAAAAGTGCTTAAGTCAAATCTATTTTCATTTAATTTTTCTTGTTTAATACATATTATATAAGTAGTGAACAAATGAAACTGCCTAATATTAACTAAATAAGGCCTTTGATGTAATATTGTAGAGGAAAGAAGAAAAAGAATTTATGGTTTTCTTTATGACTATACTATATTATAATATTACATATTATACAAAAAGAGGAATTTGAATAAAAGATTAAATAAAGATAAACAAAGTTTTTTAATGGGTTTTATAACAGAAGAACTAAATTATTGTTGTATAAGATGTATACATATAAGTATATATTATAATAGACGACAAAATAGTGAATAACTATTGACTATAAATAATAAATTTAAAATTTTGTTTAAAATTTAAATAAATTTTACTTGCAAAATAAGACATTTTATATCCATATATAATCACGCATATATTATATAATTTAAATAACCAATAATTACCGTGTTATTGAGTTTCGACTGCATATACCGTCTATATACTAATTATTAATATATTATATGTGTACCTATACATGATTAACAGTAATACATACTATTTTAGGTAGGTATATATAAGTAGAAACTAAAAATAAAAAATAATAATATATACCTATATTGTAAAAAATAATTGGGTATCAAAATCGAATGTACCTATACATTATTATTATATATAAGGTCCCAGTATAAATCCCTGTACAGTATAATATGTACTGTATATATTACATAATATTATATAATATAATATTTTAAATTATATACACGGAAAATGTATATGATGTCCACGCAGTACTTAAAATAATTACTTACTCTCCGTATCCACCATTGTCAATACGGTGTGTAACAAGAGTGAAGGAATGGTAGTTATATATATAATATGCAAACAATATATATAAAAGGTAGAAATGAACGTGTGACAAAATGCCCCTCCATTGTTAAGAACATTATGGGAGTGTACATAGTATAGATATGGGAACAATCTGATAATAAAATATATACCTACCTATATTGACATGCAAAATACTTATTTTAGAGGCAATTGCGAATGCAAAATATACGACAACGGCGAAGGTTCAGTGTGGATATATCATAGAGTATTGTGTAGTTATATAGGTACATATCATATATACACGATTTTCAAATACATTTTTCCTCTTGCTCCACATGTCGACGAGGAGAACACAATGAGTAAGTATACTGTGTGTGTGTGTGTGTGTGTGTGTGTGTGTGTTTAATATACATATATGACATATGTGTACCTTATATACATGCACTATACACAGCGCGGTGAGAGTATCAATAGGGGCTGCACCTTTTGTTTAACCATAATTTCCGGAACGGGAAACAGGCACACTGTATACAAGAGGGGTTCGTGTATCGTCTGGTTGCGTATACACTATACAGTAATGCGTGTATATATATATATATATATGTATATAGGAAACCGGTTGTTTTTAGAGCCCTGAAGAATGCGATCCGGAGGGGAGTAAACATAAAAAAAAACCAAATTAAGATACGACGGTCGAGAAAAAAAACGAGGCGTGATAATTTATAGTCATAAGGAATATGTTCGAAAAAATAATTTTGCAGTTTTGTATTTTTGAAACTTCTAGCAGAGTTGATAGCGAGGTTGATAGTTTCAATGTATTTAGCAATATCATGTATGTATATATATAATAGCAAAAATCGACGTGATAACAAAAACGCTTATATATAGCATGATATATACTGCGGTCATTTGTTTCTTTGGAACGTTATAAGTAATAATAATAATACCTAAATATAATAAACTTGATGGTCGTCGTCACTCGAAGACTATATAAGTATACTATACTTATTTATGACACTAACCCGATATTCACATAACAATATTATTGAATAATTCAGTCTTCTGATGAGTCACCGTAGAGTTTCATAATTATAAAATGTCTACAATGTGCCATTAGGTAAGTACACAGATACAAGTCATAGATCAACTCTCGAAAAGAACATAAAATGACAAGCTATAGACAACTATCTAACTCCCATAATTTTTTTTTTCATTTTTACCCAATTTATTTGAAAAAAAATTATCATTTATACCAATTAAACGTTTATTTAAAAAAAAAATAGAAGGACGACTCGTATTAATGTCATCGAAATACACACAAACGCTACCGCCAGATACAATCAGTATCCCTCCTACCGCGCCAATAATCATAAAGTATATAGACATCACTATCAGGAAAACGCGTGTCTTTTTCCGTCACGTGTACTAGCGGAGACTGACAACCAACACAGACGCCGCACCATGGGGTAAAAGTGTTACCAACTGTGTGAGATAAACAGCGATGGAGTGACTGGGTGAGTGGAATGAGAGGGAAAAAGAGACGGTCCCGAAACTGCAAAGTGTAAACAACTCCCCCTTCCCGACGTCAATCTGTATACCTACGCACAATATATTACCGTCTTATATAGAATATGATACCTACGTAGACACCTATATAATAATTAATGTATAATAATAATAATATAAATGTGAGCGTGAATTGCTAAAAACTAAAGAAGGCACGAGATAATACAACAATAATCAATTTGAACTTTGCAAACAACAGGATAAGCCCGGTGACTTGAATATCAATAACGAATAGACATATACCAATGCAGATATGTCTATACGTGGGGAAGGACTATCCTCGGGATGAAGTATCCCCCTGTAGCGCCGTGATTATGAACAAAAAAAAAGAGGTATGTCTATTCGTAGGCACAAAAAAAAAGTTGAAAATATTAGATCGTGCCTACAATACATATATATTATGTACATAAGGAGAGCCTAATACTAGGTGATCGGTGAGTATGTATTAGGTAATTATATTATACTAAATACCTACCATATTATAATATTTATGAAGTTAAGAGCCGATAAAGAGTTTCCCACGGCAACAACCGGTCCACGGCACGTCAGGGGTGGGGAGGAAAAACCGTTTGATTGAGAAACAAAAAAAAAAATACGAAAAAAAAGTAGGCAATAGAACTGCGGACAAAAAGTCGACCGGTGCCTCACACAGTCTACACGGGGGAGGGGGAGGGGTGACGGAAAAGAGTGAAAAAGAGAATAGGGTGAAAGAGAGAAAAAAATAATAGGGGGATATAAATTGGCCTTCATTGAATGGGTACGGCGGCGGCCGTGCGCGGGACGCGGTGAAGGGAGGAAGGAAACCTATGGGTAACGGCGGCGAGTGAATGAGCGCGGCGGGAACGGGCGGCGTGTGAGTGGCGCGGCAAGCAAGGAAGGCGGGTGGGTGGCGGGCGGTGCGCGGAGGCAGCATTATATTACACACGAGACCATGTCGGGGTTTCACATGCGCTACACGCACACACGCACACGCGCACACGTAAACGCACACGCACAATCAGATAGAGGGGAACCGCCAGCGTGTGCGACGTTGCCGTTTGTGTCGGTGCACGAGTTTTCACCGTTGTCGAAATAGACAAACACAAACGACCGCCGCCGCCGCCGTGTTGGCCGTTTTTTCCCCTCAGCTCCGACGCAATACTGCGGCTGGACGATTAATTTCAAGTCACATCTTCATCGATACAAATATTATGTTATAGTCATTATTGTATATTTTTTTTACTTACCACCACGGACGCCCCTGACGACTGCCGACGAGCATAATACTCTCGCCTCAAACTGTAATGATAACAACGATGATACGGTAGTAAGGACGCGGTTATAGCACACTAATCAGTTCGCACTACACCAAGTAAAAACGAGCACTAAACACTGCGAAACGAGTTAAGAACGCACAGACGACTGACACTGCGACGCGGCGGCGGCGACAGCGGCTTCGAGTGAAACGCACGGAGAAAGGTCGGGCAGACGTGACCGCGCGACACCGGACTAGAGACTGACGCGGAACCAGACCGACGCGGCAGCGGTGGTCGGGAAAAGGGTCCCGGGCCGCCGGCTGGGTGGGGGAGAAGGGGTCGCCGGGCCCCGATTGGACCAGCAGGCCGACGCCCCGCCCCGCCGCCCGGTCAGCATTGGCCCGGTGACGTCACGCCGCGCTGACAATCGGAGGGGTGCAAGGCGGCGGCGGCGGCCGTGACAGCCGTTGGGATTTCGGCCCCCGCATAGAATTACCCGCCAAGGCTCGTGAATTGTCGCACACAGTCGCATGTATGTATATCGATTTTTTTTTCACTGCTCTGCGCGACGGCCCCCACGCGTCAAAGTCACAGAGACACAGTCCTATTTTAAAACTGCCATCGCCGCCCCTCCGCGTCCATTCTATACTCGTACACACATTATTTATAGGCAAAACGTTTTACGCGTCTTTTTAAGTACATCGTATAAGCCATTGCGGATCTGATGACGCTTCGAACGGACATTTTCATTTTGGCCCCGCTGCACTGCTGTAGTAATGCGCACGGTTCGGGGTCACTTGAAATTAAATTAATGGGAGGCTGATTGGCAGTCGATCAGTTCATGTTTAATTATAACTTTAAAATCCAGTTTAGTTCGGTCCGGCTTCAATATTTATATATACCTCTATAATACGTAATAATATATTATCGGCTCGTCCTGCAAGTCCCAATTATGATCTGTTATAATATATAAGAATTTATAGCTGTTCTATCTTATCATGGCACAACCAGTAGGTATATATATGTATAATATAAATGATTTCAGTCTAGATCATATTTTACACATATTTTTAATTTATTAAAAAAAAATTCGAACGATTTGGCCATTTCTTCTTATAATTCTATTTTTGTTTTCAAAAGGATTATAACTAATGAATACCTACAAATGTTTACTTATATAGGTACATAGATTATATAAATATACGTATAATGTATACCTAGTTGTCCACTTCTTTTGGATTAGTTTATACATAGGTATAACGATAAACCCAATGGATAATAATCGGTATTCATGTACTATGCAGCGGTCTTCCGTATTTTACCGTTTGCCGTAATACGACGATTGATGACGGTAGATTGTTACGACCGCAGACGGAAAAACACGGTAAAAGAATAGAAATACGCCAAAACACATATAATTCCACTTGCTGTCGTAACAATCTGTCGGTTACTCTGTTACCTACTTAACGCGGTGTTGCATAGAAAATCGAGGGATACGTATTCAAGTTTATTTTGTCCTAGCGCATATTATAGCGAGCGAGTGGCCAAGCATGCATCACTGTATATTACGGCAGATGGGAAAAAAATGGTAGACCTCGTACGATTTGAACACCTAATATTGTACATTGGATCGCAAGGTAATAGTTTGCAATGTTCAGATATATATACAACTGTATGCCTTATTCAGGTTTGCTTCATATACTATCGGTCCAGTAAAGTTTAAAGTGCAGAATGAAATAAAATGTGCAGGTTTGCTTTACATTTTTAAAATTATGTAATCGGTCCATGTACTTAGTTTATTCAGTCAAAGCTCTGCAGATAACAGATCTAGTTGATTTACAAAAATATACACATTGAAATTTATAGACTAATAATAGAACACTATATGTACAGGTCTAAGTATGTATATATAACTGTATAATATATATGTATTAATGTATTCATATATTATATAAATATAATACTATATGATTAACCGCGTTCACTTCGTTAAAAATGCCAACTCTTATAGTCTTCTATATTATTCTTATAAACTTCATTCGATACTCTATTTATAATACAATATAGGTTCCGCTTAATGTGATCAACCGTTTATTAGAATCAAAAATGAAAATCCCAAACCAAATTGTATGTTACTAATGTTAAATTGACCTTTTATTAGAATCACTAAGTACTGGATAATTGAATCACTTTTATGAACAATATTAACGTTTTTATGGTATTTTAAACTGATTAAGTTATAAAACTTATTTTATTTTTAAACTTATTAGTATGACAGTATATATCGTTGTACGTTATTATGTTATTCAATTATCTTTGTGCGTCGTGTACTTGTGTCATTTATTATGTATGTTACATTAAATATGCAATTGTATAAAAAGATTGAATCATGAAAAAAAATTTGTAAATGTTTTATAGAATCAACCGGTTATTAGAATCAAAATGACCTGCACCAAAGTGATCACATTAAGCGGAACCCACTGTACTGGGCCGAAACACCGGTGTAATGGTGTTCAAAACCAAAAATTTTCTACTACCAGTTCAATCTGTAACCATTTTTTTGTAAGATTTTCGATTTCCATCGACCGTCGTGGATCTCAAAATATTCTTGAGAACATCACTTTAAAATGCGAAACCTGTGAACTTATTTCTTAGTGTACGCGCTTACATAATATAATGGTCCGAATGAACATTTAAAGTCTCAACATAGGCTCCTGTTGCTTGATACTTATCATAGCTTATAAGCTCTATATTTAATAAACACAAGTTTAAATATTATAAGTCAATGAACAAAATTTTATAAAATTATTAAAAAAATTACGAAATGACAAAGATTGTGGTCAAAATCGACTGCAGTTTATACATATTATATAGGAATGACTTTTTTAGCGTACGCTGATCAGTCAGGACACGTTTCAACGTTAGATTATATATTATAATATTTATTCCAGTTGGCTTTGGGAATGAGACTCAAGTGTGATTATGCGAGCAGTATAAATTAACAGGTATAGGTGAACCCCGTGAGGTGCATACGTAAATGTATATGACTATAACTATATAACTTCAATTTTTTTTTTTTTTTGAAGGACTTGTGCACTGCGTGTTTGATAAGCAACCAACATTAATTATGTCATAATTTTGCTCATCCGATTCAGATGATCGATTTTTCTATTTTCCATGCTTGAGGCGTAAAAACCGACCAATCGAGTTTGATGTTTGTGAGGTGCGTACTATAATATCGTCTTAGTGTAAACTTTGTTGACAGAATTATTGTTATGATTTATGGTACATTACAAATAAGCTTACCATGCGATCTATTATCATAATATCATACACATGTATGATGCACACAATTTTTTTCATCGTATTTTGTTTGTAATAGTTTAGAAAACTATTTCTTGGGGTGCCCAAAGCCCGAACGAAAGTTTCGTGGCGATCGAGTGAATAGTGTTGGAATGAATAAAAGACAAACAATCAAACAGGCATACATTGGCTTACATATACATATTATAAACAGATATTGCAATAATAATTATGTCATTCTTTGAGTTTGGTTGGGAACTATACTGGCTATTAGAGCTTCTATAGTATTCTATTAAAAAACATTTTATATATTACATTTTTTCTTACAATATTATTATTCTATACATCATCTTGTTTAACAATTTATTCTATTAATGGGTATTAATCTGTAATCTTCATTTTTTAAATTTTATTTTGGTTATTTTTTCTATAAATGTCAATAAAAAGTTAAGCTGGTTCAAAAATCTTTGAAATACAAGGTTCCTCATAAGTAATAAGTATTTCATGCTGACACCAAATAATTTATAAAAATGTACTATTACATTTTTTTTAATAGATATTGAAGTTCAAATTTTGAAATAATTTTGGAATACATATAAGTATACTATAATATACAGCAAAAGCTATTATATAATAGTTAAATATTATTTATATTATACATGCATTATTGGTTCTCAGAATAAACTAAATCAACATATACCGTAGTGTTAGTAATATAAAATAAATTACATCAATAACAGTATTGATATCATAAAGTATACTTAGTTATACTTTTACTTCAGTTACCTATATATAACTGCCTGATTCAATTAATGTATTTTAATTTTTAAATATGACATGGGTATCAATCATATTAATTGAATGACAACATACATTTTTAATACCATATTCCAAATAAGCTTGTTCTAGAGTTCGGAAGGTAAAAGTCTCGGAGTTTTTAGATCTATAAAAATCAAATTTCGGTCAAGTAGCTTATAAATTATAATAAGCATGTACTTTTGTATTTAAAGTGTAGATGAGCAGAGTCTTTTTATAATACATAATTGTTTGTGCATTTGCTAGTATAGGCGCACGCTAATCTCCGGACAACGTATCCTGCGATCGGCACCAAATCTTGCACATTGATTGAGATTAGAGAGGAGTGTTTATATATAGCCCCGTTTTCAACTTATTTTTATTTCTATAGAATATATGATAGCTTACATAATAAGAAATATTGTTTTGGATTACAAAAATTGAATATTATTTTATTTATGCCATTGCAGGTTACAGAAATAAAAAAAACTTGTATAGGTATAATCTATAAAAATGTTTGTAGCTTATATATTATACTCAAGAACCTCCCGACCGTCGATTTTGACGAAAACGTCAGAAATTATTTTTAAAGATATCAGACAAGTTTAGGGATTAGTTTTAACTACGTTAAAAAATAAATCAAGTGCTATAATTCCAATCCTCCACAGTCGTGGATGCCCAATTTATAGTTGAATTTTTTCACAAAATGACTTATTGCCGATTTGTCCGTGAACTGCAGGGCACTAAAACTGAGATACTCCTAAATATAATATATATATACATACATATCATATATAACGCCAAATTTTATTTTTTCATTTTTTGCCGGGTAAATTCGTGCTATTCAGTAAGTGTTATATAATTAATTTAGATATAGGTACTAAACAGAACAAACACATGGTGAAATAACATTTTACATTTTGCAAATATTTATACCTATACAACCTACTTACATAATTATCGAATAAAATATAATCTATGGTAACAGCCGAGTATCACTTACATGTGATTATTAAAACTTAATAACAGTACCAATTGATTTTTATTATTCTGAAATGCTATAAAATAAAATGGATGAAAATCTGACGAGTATGAACATGAATCCAGAAGCGGCGGGCGACGGACCTATAAACGGAACCAGCATGCCGATAAACAGAGTTTTGAGGGTACGAATTCTGGTTCACGGCAATGGCGCTGGAGACCCTGGTATATTTTTGACCATCAATCGTATAAGAACCACAGCCCCATTATTGATGATTGATGCTGGACGGGCGGCCATATAATCACATATTATCAAATATTATCTTTTGCCGCATATTTATAAATATGTTTATGGAACACGTAAACAAAAATATACAAAATATAATTTATACAATTCTATTAACTATTGTAAAATAATAATACCAATCACATATTATATGTAGAATGTAGATATAGTAGATACCTACCTTAAGATAGTACATGTACCTACTAAAACCAAATTTTGTACCCGTTCTGCAGTATTATTCTAATATTAAGTAATAAAAAAAAAAAACTATACATTAACTCCACATTATATATATATTGCTTAATATTAAGTCTATATGTTTAGTTACGTCTATTTTGCTTCTATATGAATTTTTAATTTAGAATATTGAAATGGAACCAAACCATATAACTACAATAATCCGTTATTTTATTATATCATATTTTACTAATATATATCATGCATAAACATATAATATTTGCTGTTATAGGTACTTAATACTTATTGTAATATGTAGGTTCCTAAATCTCGTATACGATTTTAATGTTATAAACTATACATATAGCCATATACCTAACCTATATAGTACCTACCTGGACTTATCTACGATACCTACCTTTCATAGGATTATGTATTCTATATGTTTATTATATTTTAGATAACGCAACAAAAGGATCATTGTATGTGTAATATAGAATATAATTATAGGCATAAATTTAATTATATTTGATGCAGATAAATGTTATAAAATAATTCTTATCTAATAATAAGTATATCGGAAAACTTACCTTTCATTAAACTTTAGAGCATACGATTTTTCAGAATAAAAATACTTTTAGATTGGTATATTAATTACCCATATATGTTCTTGAACATGTCAAAGACAATTGTACACAAACAAAGTAGGTATAACATATAAATTTAAAAAAATATCAGCTTATTATCACTAATATACAAAATATTGCGTACGCAAATAAATTACTATACGATTTTTTTTTTTTAGAATTTTAAAGTTAACATAGATAAAAATAAAACCATGTACATTATTATTATTATTATTATAGTTATATAATAAATTTATCAAAATAAGATTGTTGGAACTATCAAAATTTAAAATATATCTATGAACTATATTTTTTTTAATATACCTATTACCTATATACAACGTAAAATAGAAATATAGTGTCGATCAATAAGCCCATTTCTATTTACTTCTAGAAGGTGATCGTAAATTCGAATTGGAAATTAAACTGTTTAATAATTTTAATAGAATCTTCTCTTGTGGATTTAAAACATGATATCCGTTAGATTTGTAAGTTGTAGGATTAAACAATGAATTAAAATGAGAGTGAGATGGCGAACAAGATGCATGATTTGGCGGACAATGCTTTAATGGGATATGCGAATGTGGATGGGTCACAGGTACACTACAAGGTTTTGGTTTTGTACTATGGATTAGTCGTAGACAAGGTGAATGGATCTTATTAATTGATGTAGAAGTACATGGTGGAATAGAATAGTGTGGTGTGGATATTGGTATATTGTCATTTGGTATATTGTCATTTGGTGTGTTATCATTTGGTGTGTTATCATTTGGTGTGTTATCATTTGGTGTGTTATCATTTGGTGTACTATTATCATTTGGTGTATCTTCAGTTGGTGAATAAACTGTTGGCGTAACGGTAAAGTCACTCGGTACACTGGGTGTTTCTGTAGGATTGTCCGTCGCTGGTGGATTATAAGGTTCGCTAGATGTGGGAATAACTTCAATTGATGGAGTATTGCAGCTTACATTTTGAATTTTGTTTAAAAAATAGTTGCAAAACCAATTATAAATAATGGATTTGTGTGAATGCCCTAGAAGAGAATCACAAAGAACATTATTTGAGTTATTTGTATTTCCGGCTATAGAGTTACAAGGATTAGTTGAAGTGTTTTTGTTACCAGGAAGAGAGTTACAAGGAGTATGTACAGTATTAGTGTTACCGGGTAGAGAGTTACAAGGAGTAGGTGAGGTATTAGTGTTACCAGGTGGAGGGTTACAAGGAGTAGGTGGGGTATTTATGTTACTGGGTAAAGAGTTGCAAGGGGTAGGTAAGGAATTAGTGTTACCGGGTAAAGAGTTGCAAGGGGTAGGTAAAGTATTAGTGTTACAGGGTAAAGAGTTACAAGGAGGAGGTAAATTGTTCGTATTGCCGGGTAAAGTGTTACAAGGATTAGGTAAGATATTTGTGTTACCGGGTATAGAGTTAAAAGAAATAGGTATATTGTTTGAAATACCTGGTAAAGGGTTAAAATCAATTGATGTGTTTGTGTTACCGGGTAAAGAGTTACACGGAACAGGCGAGTTATTCGTATTACAGGGTAGATTATTAGAATGATGAATCGTTGAAAATGTTAAAGGCATCTGAAAACTAAATAGTGGTGAAATAATCGAAGTTGTGTTTTGTCTAATTTTTGTTGGTATCAGTGGTACCAGTAAACTAGAAATTAATTTTAATGGTAACTTAAATAGACTAAAGGAATCGGGTGGCAATCTGTTGGTTGTGCGTGATGAGTTAGTTACTGTAGACGTCACTTTTTGAACAGTTGATGATGACTTAGTGGCCGAAGACGATGATTTTGGAACAGAAGACGGTGATTTTGGAGCTGAAGATGGTGGTTTTGAAACTGTAGATGGTGAGTTTATGATTGAGGATGGTGATTTTGAACCTGAAGCTGGAGATTTTGAAGCTGTAGATGATGATTTTGTAATCGATGCTGGGCGTCTTAAAATCCAGGGCGATGTTGGTTCCGATTCCAGCTGAGGCAACGGTCTTAACGAAATACATCGATATTTTTTGGGTTGTGTTATGGCTTGCATAACCTGCAAATAATAATTAAATTAATTAAATGCTTATTGCACCTGTACATAAAAAAATGTATGTGATATTACAATATATTATGTTGATTTATTTAAACAATTTTATAATACATATAATTGTTATAACAAGAAGTGTGTAGTAGTTTTTGTGTGAGTTCAAAATATTTCTATGTACCTAAGTAAAAATCAAAGTACGAAATTTTATATTTCAAATTACTTGCAGCTAACAAAAGGCTGATTTTTTAAAATGTTGAACATACAATTAGTAACATGCTTTGCAGGGTTAACATTGTACAAAAAACCTGTGCGATTTTTGCTTCAAATTGTGTATAATTTGGCTAATTTTATGTCAAAATATATAATTATAATATAGCCTATATAGATAATATATAGGTACGTGTACCTACACACATCGTAGCTATAAATCAGCTACGTAAATTTTAATTTTTTTTCTTGGTAGCGCTGGTTTGTATTCCTATGTTCTTCATTTTGGATATATTCTGCATAGTAATTATTTAACTATTATATATATTATAGACTATAGTAGAATTCAACAAAAAAAAGTATGGAGAAGTGAATACAGCTCTGGTGCAGTACTGTAAGTGTTGGGTGGGCCACTGTAATGGATGGGTTAAATTTTAATTCAACTGTTTAGAAGATGGTCTGTCAGCCTTATGTTAAAATCATATTTTAAAATTTCCAAAAAAAATTTAAATCGTTACTCTCCGTTTGAATAATAAATTTTGTCCGAACTTAAACTTAAATATCTATTTAAAAAATACTGTGTAAATGTAGTTTTTAGATGTTTTTGTTAAAGTTAGAAAAACTTATGATGCTTCTTATATTAAATTTTCAATCTATATAAGATATAGAAACAACATTTTTTATGAATTTCTAATTAAAAAAATTATTTGAAAATTATTGTAATTTTGACGATCTTTGTAAAAAATCTAAGTTTAAGTACTTATAAAAAATATTCAAGATTTAAACTCAACTTTTTTTTTTAATATCCACTAATAGTAACTTATGAGGAACCTATATGACATTTTTAAGTTTTTTGAGCGGGCGTAGTTTCTTATCGAAATAATGTTAAAAAAATTAATAAAAATCAAAATGTATTCTTATGATTATAAATAGCTCAAATAGACTCAACATATTTTGAAAATGTTATGGTGCATAGAAAATGATAATACAAGTATTCAGTGAATTTTTCATATTGTATCTTTGGTAATTTTTTTTTCAAGTTACACAAAGAATCAAATTTGAAGTTGAAAATCTAAGCATTATTTCGACTAGTGAACACAGACACAAAAAAACACATAATTGTAAAGCCAATACATCCATGGTCAAAACTGCTCAAAATTTATAATTATTTGAAATTTTACCACATGTAAGTATATTATGGCATTTATGTAATATTTTTAGTCCTATGTAGTGAATACCAACGTTCATTTATAGAGGTTTATTTAATTATGGCGATTTATTTGTAGTTCCTATACTTATTTAATTTTTTTATTGATATAAATAGCAAATTGTATAAACGAATTAAATTTGTTCTAATTTTTAGTGAATATTTTTACATTTTTAAAAGCGTATATTTTAATGAATTTTAGTACTAAAAGCCCCTGGACCCTGATAATAAATATTAAACTACAATATAAAACATGTATAGATATTTATAAAGATTTTATAAATGAAATTTGAAAAATATAAAATTTACTTGCGAGTAAACATATTATGTATAGGTATACTGTTACTGTGTACTGAATAGTCTATAATAAGTACATAAAATAATATAGGTAAGCAATTTAGATACCTAATTTGTCATATTTTATTATTTTCTCTATTTATAAAGTAAATATACTATATATAATATATAGGTTGCCTAATGATTGGACTTTGCATATTTTATCATATATGACCTATTGATATTTGATTCTATTACAAGGACCTAGACACATAACGATCTTAAGGTATTAAACTATTTACAAAAACTTAGACACTAATCATATATTATTAAGATATAAAATAATTTAAAAAGTAATACCCTCCTTAAAACAAATTAATAATTAGTTATCACACCAATGGTACACACACTCACCTATTTATTTTTATCAGAGCATTTTATGCCTTAATGTATGTACTAATAATATTATTAATCATTTATAACCATCATATTATAGGTACATAGTGCTTAATAATATATGAAGCGTCAATTTAAGTTTAAAAATAAGCCTCTATAATAAATTGGTGATAATAGTTGAGTGACTCAAGTAACTATGACTATACCTACGAAGTCCCTTATTATAATGTTCATTTGACAATTGTTATAATATTCTCATTGAAAATTTGAATGTGAATATAATTCCCTTTAAAAACAAAAGATAATTTTTTAAGAAGTTAATTTTATTTCATGGGAATTCGTAGTAGAAACATTACTATAAAATAATCACTGAAATGTGTAAAAATTGTGTAACTTTACATAAAATGACAACTGTGTGATGGTTAAATTAATTGCTTAGGTAAGCATACACCTACTATGAGAGCTTAGAAACTAAAATCTATAATAATTGATTATATATGACTGTTTTTGAATGACTTGTATGGATATAATAAACATAGTGTTAGTTAAATTTTACTTTGTATCATGTATTACTAAACTGTTCAATAAGCCGTTTAAAAAATTGACATAACTAATTACATAAATGTAAAAGTTCAGACTATTAACCATGTATTGCGGTTAGCCTAGAATAGAGTACGATCTAAATATATACTAAATTATTATGCATATAATAATAATACGAAAGTTGTGATGACAATTGAATAGTTTATTTTGAATATTTTGAAATTAATACAAGGTACTCAAGTTATACCTAATATATTTATAAAATACATATAAAAATGTCTTCTTATAAAATGTCTTCCAAAACACATATTTTGTTACAACCTATGTCAAACATATAAAATCACTTAAACTATTTAGGTAGATGTCTATAATATAATATACAATGTAATTATATAGGTAAGTTACGTTTTTACGTACCTGGGTAGAGAACAAAGCAGTTACTAGTATGACACTGAATGGAGTCATTGTGAAGTTTGACAGTGAATTGTATGGTGCAACGATTTAAGTATGCATCGGTATCACAAGTGTTTTGATATCTGGGCACGGACATTCTCTAAATTATATCATATTATATCAGTTATTATCAGTGATACGATTGTATGTTACCGGATGTCATTGTCATATTACATCATACCACAATGACCGTGCTAAACGGCGCTGACCGCTGATTTCGCCAAGGACTTGGAAGAATCGTATTTATATATATATAGGCACACTGCCGTATTTATAGGGTTCATAATAGTTATATAGATAAATGTCTTCATAAATACATTAATAATTGTGTTCTTGTGCTGATTAATTTTATTTTTCGAGCATCGTCACACGTCAGTATATAACCATCATGCAAGTAGGTCGTTTGTCTGGTTTTACGTGTATAGAAGAAAACACAATATATTCACGCTCTATAATACTACGCCGCAAATCCATATGCTGACGTGATGTTTTTTTTTTCGCACAATATTGTTTACAGTTTTACACGTGTGATTGCATGTGTTCACCGTTCAGTCGAGAGAGTATATTTATCGAATTTTTAGAGCGTAAAAAATAATATTGTTATAATGTCATGACATTCCTGCAAAGCTTTAAATATTATACATATAATATAAATATTTGTGTATACACACCTACGTCAAAAAATTAATATGTTGTACTTCTACAACTTAATAGATTCGATAATCTGTTCAGTCTAAGATGAAGCTAGAAAATGTCAACGAATTCAATAACAACGAGTGCTTAGGCGTTTTATTTATTGACAGTTGGTGACCCGTACTGAAATTTAAAGATGTATGTTTTTCACATTAATTTACGTCTAACAGTTTTCGTGCGTCTCCGATTCGGAAAGACAGCATTCTATACATTGCGACACTATTGTTTCAAAATTATACCTCGTAATTTATATCAGAGATTAATGTAATATATTAATGGCTCATATATCATATCAACCTGGTTTATATAAATAAAGATAAATAATAATTAATCAACGACACCGCAATTTGCCCTTCACACGATAATTCATCATTATGAATTTATGCGTATATATTTCAAAAAAATTCTTCAGACACGTTATCAACCGCACAAATTTGTATAGAACAAAATATTCTGATTTCTGGTTTCGAAATTAAAAATCTCATTACAAGTATGCACTATGCATATCATGTGCGTAGTACATAAAATACATTTCATTGAATCCAGAATGCCGAAAGTTCCTATTATATAGTATACCATTTTTTCAATATTTCTTGTATCTGTGACCTGTGTAGGATAAAAATTAAAAATATAACTTTATTTTAAAACATAAATACAATTTACGGTTAAGCTAGGTAGGACGTAGCCAGATAGGTATTTCTTACTTTAATCTAACTATTAGTGTAACTATTCAATATTGTAAAATGTAATATATAATTAGTTATATACGACTTTCTATTACGAGTATTAGTTTGATCTTAGAACCTAAAGACCAAGTTTATTACTCAAATACCCACCTATATATATTTTTATCATGTCAATAGTATACTTCGTTATAAGATAATATTATTGACATTAATATTGTACAGTTAAAAAAACAAAATATCTGACATTACGTTATTAAAAATATATATATATTATATTATAAACTGGTTGATTAAAAACATAGTACCTAAGTAAATTGTATTCGTTGTAAAAGCACGTACATTTCGTAATAGCTATATTATATTCCAAAATATGATATCAACACTCGTATAAACAAAACCTCAATATGGTTATCTCGTCCTGGAAAATACTTGTAGAAAAACACATTTCAAATTACATTATTTATATTTTATTAAACGATAATCCGAATGTTTTGTCTCGACAAAAACTAAGATACAAGTATACTTCCATGAAAAGTAAGTATAATAGATAATATAAAAAATCAACATTAATAAACGGTTTGTAAGCGTAAGCAATGTCCCAAACGTATAATACTGTAGTATAAAATATCGATCATCGGTACACGTAGCGATCTATATATCCCGATCCAATCACGGTATATACAATCGATATAGATCATTGGACGATTTGTGCTTGACACGAATGCCTTTAATAAATCGTTCGATCCCTATAATTATTATAACGCACAAACGCACAGTATAGTATAATATTATAGACGTTCATAATCAAGCCCGGATGTACGATGATCGAAAGTACGACGAGTGTCGGGGGACTGATAATTATTGCACTCGAATACATCTCTGCCGCGCCCGAAAAAAGTTATTCGTAAAGCATTCATACTCCCTATAGGCTACACGACTATATATACATATTATACGATTATATTCTGTACAGAGACGACGAGTGTGAAATACACACACACACACACACACACACACACGCACACCGCATATAGTATGTACATATATATAATAGTATATCGATGACACACTTACACACACACTGGCAAGCACATATAACATTACGCGGATATCGATCAATATACATTTGTCCGTGTATTTCGCGTTTATAAGGGCACGAAGACTGCATACTATAATACACGAGTACACGACCCTCGCCGCATACACACACACACTCACACACACACTCACACACACAATGCGCACACACATCACCAAACATGTATATAATATATATTACACGTCATGTACAGGGTAAACGCCTTCCGGCCTTCAGCAAAATCCGCCTAAAAACCATATTATAATAATATATTAATATATATATATATAATATATACATATATATTGTACGAACGACTGTCGGAGGGGGGTCTTGATCCTCTGTGTGCGGTGTGCATGGTATACAATATTATATTATAGGCGAAGGGGACACACAGAAATTCGTTGTTTACGCACCGCCGTATCCTTGACTACTCACGCCCTCTCACTCGCACACACTCCACACCCGCTCACTCGCTCGCTCGCTCGCTTTATAGCCAAACTCCTCTCCTACGCGTGCATCGTCCGACACTCGGTGACGTCACGTTCGTATACGTATGTACATAACACAGCACGTCATTATCAAATACCGCGCAGCCAGTACAACAGATGACAATCGCATCCCCACCGCACCACGAACACCCCGCGATCATGGCCCATCCGCAATGCATTATTATTACTACTGTTATTATTAAATACGCCTACTGCTCCCCATTGTACCTATAATAGTTCCCTTCGAGTCTGGCGCGTCTCTTTCACCCGTTGACCGCTAAAATAAAAAACCATAACAATGACCGTATAATAATATAAAGTAAGCATGCATAAATGGTATGCAGAGAAAGGATGCATTACGAAAAATCAAACACCGATGATTTTTCAGCGATTTTCCACTGTCGTATGCAATAGGTATACCATTAAAAGGAAAGAGGTTTTTCGTTTCATGGACGTAAACAAAATGCGGGTACATCAATGGGTTTATGTATAAATGTAGGTATATAATGCCATGTTTGTTCATTTTTGTGAACTATATTTTGTATCCGACTACTTGTGGTTGTGAGTACATATCGTATAATCATTGTGTATCGTTAATTAAAACTCGTCCCCGGGGGCTGTCTGCAGAAGAATTTCACATATTTATAAATATGTATATATAACATGTGTCTACACTACACTACAATACTATATAGGTATGATACACGCCGTCTTGAAATGATATATAATATAGTACCTACATATATATACGTACATAATGTTGTGCTGTATAATATGTAAGTGTATATAGAAAACCTGAAAACCTGTTCGCTGGTAGCGGCGCGTTGATTTTGACGATCGGTTGGCCCATACCAATTCGGGTGGGTGTAGAGTTATGCGAGTAAAATATGTTATGTACAATGTACATGGTATAGTGCGGTATGTCGTATGTAGGTACCTATACCTTGAGTCGTATATATGTTGTAACGTACAAAAGTATAAATACAATGTTCAAAAAAAAACCATATGCCATGTGCGCCGTATGCATGTGCAGTAGAGCTATATAAGATTTATACATATTATATAATTATAATGGTATGTTTTTATTTGCAGCGTCCTACTTACAAATTTAGTTAGTTTTTTATTTATTTATTTTTTTTGCTTGTCTGTGAACACGCGATAAGTATAATCGAAAATATGCTTGGGCTTTCAACTTCAAATATGGTTTTTGGTGTAACGCTTGAAGAAATCACCGTAGATATACATGCCATTTTCACTGACTGTTTATTTCAGCATTTCCTACACCATAAAAAATGTTTAAATATTTTGACTCATGTTGGCTCATTTAATGGCGCATATACAATTTTCGATTTGTATTGGTTTTCTTTAATTAATGCCGATAAAAACGTGTTTGCTAAGTAAAAAAAAACATGTAAATGTAATAGATAGTTCCTCGTAAGTTGTTGTTAGTGGAAATTAGAAAAAAAGTTTAACTTAAATCCACGATATTTTTTGATGAGCGTCTGGAGTTAGAATCTCGACAAATTCGTAAAAATTATTTTGAGTTATAAATTTATAAATATTTTCATTTTAATATTTACAATTTGAAATTTTAATTCAAGATTTCCAATAGGTTTTTCTACCTTTATCAAAAAAAAGAACTTTTAACTGAAACCCAAATTACATTTTATGAGGGTTTGAGGTTCAAATTTTGACAAAATTTATTAAATTCAAAATTTACAAATTATTTTGTAGTTAAAAACTTATAAAATGTTCAACTTTTATAGCCAAGGATTAAAAATTTAAAACAAGGTTGCAACTACTGTAAGTAATTGATTCTGTAACCAAAAAATCTGAAAAATATATAAACACAGTTTTTTCATAGCTATTTTAAGTTCAAATTTGGATGTAACAAAGAATTACGATTTTAGTTATTTTGTTGTAATTTGATAATATTATTCGTGCGCACCTATTTGAAACTTTTAAAGTAGGTATACTATTATATTTTAAACACATCACAATAACATTTTCTATTGTAATTTTTTCAACAAATATGAATTTACACTACTATAGTTCTAATGCCTATTATATAGTAAAATAAATTACTTTAATTACAATAATATCATAAATATACCTACTTAATAATATTATGGGCTGACAGATA